TACAAAAGGTCTCCAAAAGCAGTATTCCTTTAGTAGAAGATATGCATAGGCCAGTGACTCTCTGGGATCTTCTGGAGGATCTAAGGGTGCACGGTGCTAGAGAGCCTCTTGGACCACAAACCTGCCCAGGCTGCACTAAATCCCTGGCTGTGTACCAACAACTCACAGGCCACAGCTGGGAAGCTGCCACTCCTGTCCTATTTATTCTTACTGATATAAGATATAACGGGGGTACATAAAAACAATCTCAGTTTTAATTTAAAAGGATCTTCTGCACAGCACTGGATTGAACAAAGACTTTAGGAATTTGAAAAGTAAAGACCAGATGGGCATTAAGTTTACTAAAACCCTCTTCTGGCATGAGTTTGTTGTGATAGCAAAGCAAATGAGCATACTTGCCCCAAAGGGAAGAGAAAAAGACAGGACTGACTGGTACTGTCTGAGCACTAGGCAAAAAAGAATGAAGTCATTCTCAATGAGGAAACCCCTGCTGACTTTCAGCAGTGAAGTTGTTTTCAAAGCATACCCATTGTGAAAGATAAAAAGCTTCATGAAAAGCAAGGATCAGACAAAGGGAAGTGAGAATATCAATGCCAAGGAGGCTGAAGCAACATGGTATCAGAGACAGCAAATGCAGAGCTAGCTAAAGGCAGCCCAGTTGATTTCTATTAGTGACTTTGCAGTTACTAACAGGTGGATAGGAGCTTCTACCCTATCCAAAGGAATGGGGTTACAAGTATTTCAAGAAGAGTTTTTAAAGCCTTGGGGGAATTCAGCCTTGGAAACTGAGGAAGACAGCTGCCAAAAACCAGCATAAGTCAACAGAGGAAATGAAGGAGAAAGTGATGAAAGTTGCATACAAGCAACACAAAAGAGTAGAACGTGCTTTGAAGAGACAACCCTCATGCCAGATGACTGCTATACGAAGAGGGCTCATACGAGGTCACAGGTCCTCAGCCAGCCTAACCTTTTCTGTGATTCAGGGGTTTTTGAGCAATCTGTTGAAAACAACTCTGTGCTCTAAAGCATGGCTCTGTATTCAGCAGAAAAAATATGGTAAGACACTGATTGCAATAAAGAGGGCTGAATGTTACTACTTCCAGTCATATAAAAAGCATCCAAAAGCTTGTATTGAAATCCACAGTTAACATAAGGCATGACTGAAAGGGCCAAGTATTTTGGACGTTTCGTGTAAGCAGAAAGTTTTCAGTCCCTCTGAATTACAGGCTCGTAAATCCATGTTTGTCTTTAGAAACTTATGACAAGCAAACACAGAAGACACAGAGATCAGTATTTGGTTAACCTCGACTAATGATGACAATGTACAATCTCCATTATTTCACTCAGAAACAGGGATTGTGGATGTCCACTCATGTCAGGATATCTAGAACTGTGAGGCATCACACTGAAGTGCCATGTACTTATAATATGAAGATAGACACCGTCAGTGTGAAATTACAGAGCTGACATTCTTTGTAGTACTTCCCTCTCCCTTGTGTGAATTGCCTCAGCCTTCTGAGAACTCAGGATTAACTTAAGGTGATGTACCAATTGTTAAAATAAACTAAGCTGCAGACTTCCATGAAAAGATGCTCTGTACACCTAAAAGTTCTCTTACAACTCTGATGCCAGTTAAAAGCCTACCAGATTACAACACTGTAACTGAATTCTTAGGACTTATCTCTTCAAAACCCTCTTTATTTTGAACATCTCTTTTAGGAAGTCTGCTGCTGCCTACATACATTTAAACAAATTAACTTCATTGCTCACCACTACAACAGTTGTACTCACCTTTCCATGCAACTGTCCTCGCTTGCATTCATTTCTTGTGTTTCTGGAAGTCTAGTCTATTCTACAAGTTGCAATACATTTACACCACTACTTGCCCTGTTGCACCTAGCTAACAAACATCTGAAATCAAAGCAGAATATTCACATGACTTACTGGAGTGCAACTACCTTGCACAATACAGAAATAATTGTCTTCCTTTGGTCTGAATTTCTAAGTTTGGACAGCTATATCATGACCTTGTTTTTATATTGAAATGCTTAAGCCTTTAATAGACAAAAATTGAATGGAGGGGAGGGGGAAGTGTTACTCTTCTACTCTGATTTTATATTCCAATTTGGTAAATAGCTGGCTTTAAGCAAAACACATAACTTTTAAGTATAAAAACTGGACATCAAAACTCAGACATGAATGTTTTCCTGTTCATTCCTTATAACAAACATTATTAGAGTAAGGAGAGCAAAGAAGAAGATGATGTCAAGATTTTTCATGCAATTTACAACTGTACAATGCTGGAGGAATGTGACAGGCTGGAGACGATTTATCTTAATTGCCCTATTTTAGGACAATTTTTCCCCAGGGAAAATTTTAGGCTAAGCCTCAACGTAGGCATAAATGAGGAAGCTCTCATGCTGAAACTACCATCAACACTTTGCTGCTGGACTTTATCACACTGTATTCTGTATCAGTTAGTCATGTACTACACAAAATATCACTAAAATATTTACATAAGAAATGAGTGGCATAGAATCAACATTGCCTGGAAAGCTATTCCTTTTTCTGGGTGAAGTCACAGAAAATGATTAACAGCTAGTACTCTCTGATGTGGAATACTTGCATATGAACAAAACGATAGAGGACGAAGTGACGAGACAAAATAAAGATGAAAATGGATTACTCTAAAAATGGGAGGACTTTTTACAGAAACAGAGCTAATGGAAGGCAGAAGAAAAAGGGATGCAGCAGAACTAGAAGTAATTCTTTTTAGAGGAGGTGGATGCAGAGGTAGGAAAATTAAGAAGAAAAGAAATAGAAAGGACACAGCAGTAATTAGTGTCTCTCTCAGCTAGAGAAATGACCTGTCAGGTAAGTCTGAGAGCCAGAAAGCCAGATCCAACACATGCGTTCAGCACTGGAATAAGAGCTCTGCAGAGGGAGCCTCTTGATCTTTAAGACACAGTTTCATGGGTGTAATTCTGGCAGCTAATTCTTCTATCTCCCTCTACCAAGGCAATGCATAGATAGCATGAAAGAACAACGAATGATATGTTACAATCCTAACAAAAACTAGGATATTAAAAGATTAAAATCAACCTTCTATCACTGCAGTGTGGGAATTTGCAGCGAGGACAGCATGGCAGAAATGCTCCTGAGTTCTGTTTGAAAACCAAAAGAATGCATGAGTTCTTATCTGCATTGTCATTCCTACCATTGGTCCCTTTAGTAAGCGTACAGCAGCTACACAGAGGATTTATTTCTTTTCTCCCGTTGTCTAGGCACAAACCCAAATTACTCCCTGTTGAACAAGCTTGCCAAGACATCTTATGACACTATGCAACTCCATTCTTTAGCTTCACAAGGACAATAACAAACATGGTTTACACATTGACTAAGCCATTCCTATCCTTATCACTCCCTTTGCCTTTCTTCCTATCCTAAGACAATCTCTCCCAGATTTGTGAAAAAGAAAAATTCTATCATTATAAAACAACTGCTAATATTGGACGTTAAATTTCAATCTGTTCCCAGAAATGAGCAAATTGGGAAAACTGATTTCTCCCTAATTTGCTCTTCACTGCTGACAAATGCAGCAGATGATGTACATTCAGATGCTGAGGCTGATTTCATACAAAAAGAAATGAAATACCACAAGTATAACAGAGAAAAATTTAAAAAAGTCACAAAACATCCAGTCTAGATCACAGTCTATTCATTATAAATGAACTTTATGCATCATTAAGTATCACAAACCTGGGCACTATTTCCACTGTATCCCGATCTGCCGCTTTCCACCATACCTATTATATATATGGTTCTTTCCTAACTTTATCTGGGCTTCTATGGATTTGTCTATGACATTTTGTGAGTAGTGTTAGGGCCCAAGCTTGTGAACAGATGGGAGTGAGCACAGGCAGCAGCAGCCACCGTTTCAGACAATGTTCCTGCTAAGATTGCAAGAAAGTACAGGCTATATCGTATAGGCTTTAGCTATAGCTAAAGTACGGGTCCTCTGCCACCTTATCATGCACAGTGTCTTACAAATAAACACAACCACCTCTTCTGAGTACCTAAGGCAAGTCTGAAATTGGGTCTAATCTTACTTCATAACCCAAAGTGGATCACTACTGCCTTGCACAGTGACTTCGGCTACTGCTAACAAGCCAGCCTGCCATGACAGCAGTAAAGAAAAAGACAGCATTCTCATTTACTTCTTTCCTCATCTATACAAACTGTATAGGACCAAGTACACAACAGAGGCCTAAACAAGCCACACAATTGTGCTACAGAATAACTAACATTTGTTCACTTTCTTCAATCCTTCTCTGTAGTCTAACCTTGCATATCACCATACAAGGGCTATAAATAATATATTCCCAACATTTCAGTCCCACCAGATGCTTCTCTTCTCAAATGTGAAAATTAACAGTGATGAAACACTAACTTTATGAACCATGTAGAATCTTGGAATTTTCACAATGTTCTGTATCTCCACACACACATACAGGGCAGTGATAGCTGTGCATCTAATTATGTTAATCGGGCACTTACAAGTCAGATGCAGGCTATCCACTGGTTTATTTCAATCGCAATCACTTCTACCTTTTTTAAAGATTTAAGGTATTTTAAAGAACTAGATCCTCACCTCTTTGAATAAAACAAAAATGGGTATTTTTATGCTACTAGAGTCTTAAATTCTCTATTTAAAACATCTAATTATTTTTAGGTTGCTATTCCGTGATTTCACATGCAAGTATGTAACTTGATTACATATGCAAGTATGTGACAGTGGTCACTCTTTTAATCAATCCTAGTAATTAAAATATGTCTTATGCAAATGTGCCCAATACAGGACCAAGACAAAAACCTCTGTAGCCTTTTGAGTGTGGCCTAGTGATCAGAAAAAGGGACAGAATCAGAACTGAGGCACTGACGCACCATGTGGCCTTGGCAAACCAATTAGCACCAAAACGTTCTGTCTCCCCGAGACTTACCACGTGCGAGATCACTTGTGCTAGGAGCAGTCTCTGCTTTTTGACTCTGCAAATGCTCAGTGTCCCTGTGTGACTCCTGGGATGGAGGCACTGAAGATGCTGAGGAGGAGGAGGAAGAAGAGGAAGAGGCTGGTTTGGATTTGGAATGCAGATCATTCAGTCTCAGGAGATTTTCAGGAGTCACAGTGTCTGGATTCACTGGGGTAGGATGCAGTGTGGTTGCTGTTACTGGGAAGAAGCTGTCTCTGTTGTCCTTTGTATGCTTAGGGGTCATGGGTGCTTCTCCTGTGGACTACATAAAACAAAAAAGGGCAGGCAGAGACAGTGAGAAAATACATGTCAGTAATAGTAATTCTGCATATGCTACCTGCTTCAGTGACAACTGTGAGCAGTACAACTTTTTGTAGATAGAAGACACTATCTCTAAACTGAATATAAAATCAATCACTATTATAAAGAAATATTTTGCCTTTATGGATTATCTTTCTGTTCTTTATGGTCTATTTAGCAAACCAGCACTTGAATATTTATTCATATTCACATTCACAATACTTTATTTAACAAATCCCTCACAACATAACATGCTTTCCTGAACTCTATCAGTAAGAATGAATTACAAAACTCCTATGAACAGAAACACATTTCTTTCATTTAAAAATACACTGACAAGCTCCTGAGCTGAACAAACAGATCTGCAGTGCTTTAAGAGCATTTGCAAATTATTAAAAGTCATTATTCTTAGTGAATGATGTCAGAAAAAGTAGAGAAAGCAGAAAAAAATCTATTTGCTTGCAAAATAAGTGATGAGCTTATTTTATCAGCTGATCAGTTCAAATCTTAAATTCCCACTAACTGCAGAACTGAGTACATTGGTGTCCAACTTGGAATAATGCTCTGGAAGATCTGTTGCTTTTGCAGAAATAACAGGGACACCAAAAGTGACACTCTGAAGCCAGAGCTAAGAATTTAATGCAGTATCATTGATTACACAGACAGAAGGTAGAAGGGTGACATAAATTCACTGAAGAGGGAAACAAAAGCACCCATAAATCGAGTATCTTCTCTGTATTTTTTATCAGCAATCAAATATTCTTGCCTGTGAGGCCAGAGAACACATTTATTTAATGCTCTTCATGGTCTACATTCAATGCAGACTTACTGGACTGTAAAAGATACAGTTGAATGGAATCTTCAGCTATTTAACTCCTACCTCATACCTCTACTGTGAAAAAAAATTTGGTTTAACCATGGTGATAAGAGTATGAGCGTTTGAGGTAAGAAAGAGAGTTCTGCTGTCAAATTTAAAATTAAATTGGGCCCTATGTCCTAGATGACCAAAGATTTCTTACAACGCCAGAAGAGTCAGCAGAATTCCACTGACAGAACAGAGTAAACCTCAGCTGGAGAAAACACATGTTTAAAATTCAAAGGTGGAAAGCACACAAGTACAGCTTTTTTTAAATAATTGGTGGAATGTATTTTTGAAGTTCCTGAACTTGATTAATCAATCTCTAAAAAGCATTTGATTAAAACCTGCCAGATTCTATGTGCACACAAAAAATAAAATATAGCAGCTATATTCCCAACTATTACCGCATTAGATCAAAAAATTGTCTATTCTACCTCTGAAAGGAACAGGTTTCTGATGTTTAAACCATGACTTCCAAAACTAAGGGTCTCAAGACTCACAAATGGGATCATACAAACTTGAGGGAAAGTACAGAAGAAAGCCTTAAGCCAGAAGTGAGATCACTAGAGGAAATGTCTTCAGCTGTGATTTAGAGGGAAAACCCCTCACACACAAGCACTTCATTAACTTACATAATACACTGTGTAGAACCTGACATTTCTGTGCTTGTATTATAGTCAGGTTTAGGGTTTTTTCCATCAGAAACACACGAAGGTACTACTAGTTAAGTACGTATTTGTTAAAAATGTAAGTGCATCTCTAACTGTATTTCTATACAAATGCACAGCTATTTCCAGAGACAGAAAGAGGACACTTGGAAAGTAACTCAGCAAATATTTGAATGGTACTCAGGAGAAAAATGATTAGTGAGAGGAGGAGTACAACAACATCATAGAGTAACTCCTGCTGGAAGGGACCTCTGGATGTTTGTAGTCCAATTTCTGCTCAAAGCAGAGCTGACTTCAGTCAGATCAGCTTAGTGAGGGCCCGTGTCCAGCCCAGTTCCAAATGCCACCAAATGTCCTGGGTTCAGCTGTAGCAAACCACAACAGATGGAGATTCCACAACCTTTCTGGGCCTCTGTTGCAGTGCTTTACCACCTTCACAGTGAACACTTTTTTCCTATCATTTCATCCAAATTTCTTTTGCTGCAACTTTAAATGGCGCTTCTCATCTGGTTCCTTCCTCCCTGCTGAAGATGACAATTCCATACCCACACCCTCCATTAATCTCCTTTTTCCCAGGATGAAGAAAGCCAGATCTATGACTTTACTGCCATAAAGGTCTATCGCTGACCTGTGTTCAACTTCTTTGTCCACAGCTCCAAATCTTTTTTGGCAGAGCTGTTCCCCAGCCAGCTATGTTGCACAGGGATCACTCTGCCCCAGGTGCAGGATTTTGGATTTCTCAATGTTGAACCTTCAGGTACTTCAATATAATCTTCCAGTCTACCCAAGTTCCTTTGAATGGTAGGCAGCCCTGCTCTCCAGCATACTGACCATGCCCTTCAAGTTGGTGTCACATAAACTCACTAAGGGTTCACTCCATCCCACCATCTAAAACATCAGAGAGAATGATGTCCCAGTATAAGTTTGAGGAATGCCCCTGGGAACTGGCTGCCAGGTAGAACCCCAGTGGTTGGCCAATACGCATTTAACCAGGCAATGGAGGCAATGGACAAACACTGAAACAAAGAAGGCCATCTTGTAAGTTGTAGGTGATCAAGCACATAAAGAGAAAAGGTTGAGACTAAAGTTACCCTTATTGGTACACACAGATGAAACCAAACTTCTATTTAATGTTTCTCAAAATGAAGATGCTGTGCCAGGGACAAGAAAAATTAGTTTTTATTTTGAACTGGTTCCTCCAGGTGAAGTTGTGGTTTGGACAAAATATTTTTTTGGGTTTTTTGCAGAGAATCAACCTGCTTCATGAAGAGAGTAACATTTATTTTGCACAAAAGAATAAAGCTGAAACTAACATGATGTTCTGTCTCAGTAAAATCATGACTAAAAATTCTAATGCATAGTCAAAAAGTGCAGCCTTACACCAAAGAATGGCAATCAAAGATTTCCATATTTATGGCCTTAAAGGGAACCTTCCACATGTGATCAGATGAAGGTTGTCTAACGCTTCTGTAAATAGACAGGTTCTTTTAGCCCAATGAAACAGAGACCTTGAAAGGAGAAAAAAACCCAAACCCAACTTAAACCGCTCTGAATGACTTTCTTTTCTCAAAAGAGGGGTTGGAAGAAAAAAAGAGAAGAAACGTTTGTCTTTAAAATGAGAGCCAAAGCATTAAAAAAAACCCCACCCTTTGCTACTATGTATTCTGTAGCTCATACAGCCATAAAAAGGGGGATTTAAAACTGCTTCATATGTTTTACTGGACCCAGAAACTGAGAGCACCCAAAAGCTTTAAGCAGAAAGTTAAGATGAGCACCACAGTAAGGCACATGTTTTTTTTCAGAGATTTTGGTTTTAGTGTAGGGGCAAGAATTCCAGTTCAGGGCAAAGTCAGTAACTATACTGCTCAAGACTTATGGAGCCACATTTCATCATCCGGCCTCCAGGAAAACACAAGGCTTTGTAAAACTGCATGTGATAAACAATCCCAGAAAAACTCATTGCAGGAAGTCTTGGCTTTGCCAGAAGCACTTTACGTTCATCTTTCTACTGCTGTACCAGCAGTAAGGCATAATAAAGACTATTTTCCACAAACAAACAGTAGGGAACTGAGCAGCAGTGACAATCCTTTATCAGTGTTTTATGTGGTTTCTCATTAGGTTTTTTTTAAAGTTTCTATTTTGTTGTGGCACTAAGTCAAAAGTACAGCAATTCTCCTTCCCCCTCTTTAATCCACTGCACTGTGCTAAGTGTCTGTTACCACCACTATGTTTAAAAGATGGTGGCTTTATTACAAAGTGGCTTTAGTCACCAAGAGGAAAGGAATCTTCTTCTTATGCTGATGAGGATGCTACTTATGGAACAAGTGCATATAACTGAAATAAGATGAAAACTCTTATCTGCTGCCTTCTTATCTTTCATTGTAATTACAGGTTCATCTAGTCAAGATTGGACTTCCTTCTGCATGTTCTAAAACAAGATGAGGTACTGAAGATTATGCAGTGCTACTTCTGTCTTGACCACCATACTAGCAAAATAGATGGAACTAATAAGTAAGGCTTATTCATAACCAAATGACATGTCACAGACGACAAGTAAAAAAGTACATTACTTCGATAAATACCTGCTTATCCTATTTCAAAAACTTAGCAAAAATGTTGTTATGAAGTCTGTATAAAGCTGAAATTTAAATGAATAGCTAGCATGCATGTTTGTTTGAATTGTAGCTAAATCTGACTTATGCAGGTGACAAGATGAGACTCCTTATTTGTTAAAACATTGTCTATTTCAGTATACTCCTCAAAGAGTTCATTCAGCTTCTCGAAGGCTATGGACAAACCCTTCCAATGGAATCTTGGGAAAGAAGTAGTTAAGGAGGGGGGGACGTTGGGAGTGATGCCATTTTTCTTCGCAAGTCACTGTTATGTGTGATAGAGCTCTGCTTTCCTGGAGATGTCTAAACACCTGCCTGTCCATGGGAAGTGGGTGGTGAACCAATTCTTGGTTTGCTTTGCTTGCACATGCGGCTTTCACTTTACCTATTAAACTGTCTTTATCTCAACCCACAAATTTTCTCACTTTTAGCTTTCTGATTCTCTCCCCCATCCCACTAGGGGAAGTGAGTGAGCGGCTGCGTGGTGCTTAGTTGCTGGCTGGGGTTAAACCATGACATTACCATACTTATTGTTGCTTTCAAAACACATTTTGAAAAACAAAGAAATCCTACAGGAACCTTCTGATACTGTTCCTAGAACAGTTCACTACTCTGGGGCTGTGCGAAAAAGTAACAGATGTTGCATAGAAAGGGAAAGTGACGATCTTCCCAACACAAGTTTCCTGAAGAAAGATACTAACAGTGCAACTGTTACGTAACTTAATTCTTGTTTTTTTAATCTATTCCTGTGTCTCAGTTTGGCATTCCAGGGGGACTGAAGTCAGAATCCACCTAACAAAAAGATGTGCCTTTTAAATGAATA